GCTGACAGAGACTGACTCCAGGTCCAATCTGTGTCTTCCCAGGGAATCTCAGAGCTAGGAAAGGGCTCTTCCCCGACCAGGGTTTGGAGGAGGTAATCTAACTAAAGGATCTCAGGACCCATTGCACACCACGGCTTCGAGGGCTAGGCAAATCTGCTCACAGAATTCTTCCACCAGCTGCTTGCTCCCTTTTCTGTCACCTAAAAGCTTCGATATTTGATCAAAATACTTTTTTTTTTTTTTTGGAAAGGATGGAAGCATATGGGGAGTAAATTTCTACTGGGCACATTTTGCTCACATTCCCATTTAGAAGCACTTGCACTGTTAGGTATTTTCAAGTTTTTAATATAAGCCAGTAAATGATTAGTATCCAGACTATTGAAAGAATTCCTATAAGTGGGTAAGGAAAAGACAAACTACTGGGGGTGGGGGGATTAGGAAAAGACACGAGCAGACATTTCAGAGAGAATCACACAGGACCGATGTGAAAAATCTCCAGCTTCATTATTCATCAAGGAAATTCAATATAAAACCATGCAGTACCATTTCACACCCATCAAGCTGGCAAGCACTTAAAAGTTGGGAAGCATTCAGTATTAACAAGAAAGCAGGGAACCAGGACTCTCATACACTACTGGAGGGAAGTAAATTAGTTAAAATATACTGAGGTAAACTTAGCAACATCTTTCAAAATTAAAGAAGTGAATACAGCCGAAACCGGTTTGGCTCAGTGGATAGAGCATTGGCCTGCGGATTGAAAGGTCCCAGGTTCAATTCTGGTCAAGGGCATGTACCTTGGTTGCGGGCACATCCCCAGTGGGGGATGTGCAGGAGGCGGCTGATCGATGATTCTCTCTCATCGATGTTTTTAACTCTCTATCCCTCTCTCTTCCTCTCTGTAAAAAAAAATCAATAAAATAAAATTAAAAAAATAAAAAGAAGTGAATACCTTTTAGCCCAGTTAACTATCCTTCTAGGTATTTATCCTATACTTGCAATGCTTGAACTGTTACATTTCAGATTCATTCTCTTTGAAGATATATAAGGTGTCCAAAAAAAATGTAAATACACACTTTGAATAATGATCAAGGCAGTGTTCATTAAGATACATTTCATTTTCAGAATTGTTAAAGTATGTATACATTTTGGGGGGACACCCCGTATGTACCCCCTAGGGCAGTGGTCAGCAAACTCCTTAGTCAACAGAGCCAAATATCAACAGTACAACAATTGAAATTTCTTTTGAGAGCCAAATTTTTTAAACTTAAACTTCTTCTAACACCACTTCTTCAAAATAGACTCGCCCAGGTATTTTGTGGAAGAGCCACACGCAAGGGGCCAAAGAGCCCTCACAAGCCACAGTTTGCCAACCACAGCCCTAGAGAATTCATTCATTACAAACTTCTGAATTGAATGTCTGCTCTGGTTCAGAACAGCGTTAGGCTGAAAAGATGTCAAGAGTCCCCAAAAGATATGTTACTTCTCACAGACAGAACTGCAGCCTTCTGTGTGTGTGTATTGGGGGGGGGGGGGGGGGGGGGGGAGGAATAGTGATATGGAAGGCCTTCTCGTTATTCCAGAAGCGATAGTTGCCCCAGTGGTACTTCTAGCCATGGTTTTTTTCCCATAGCCCATTGAACTTTTCAGTCCCATGGTTGAACATATTTGGGATATGATCATATGGGGAAAGGTCTGAAGTAATATTAATAAAAATAACCACCACCTTGTGAGCCACTATGAACAAGGCATTTCATATACATACATAAACTCATTTAATCATCACAGTAACACAATGACATAGGCATTAGCACCTTTCATTCACATAACATATATAAAGGAGTTTTAGATTTAGAAAGATTTAGCACCCTGTCCAAGATCACACAGCTTATTAATATGGCACTTATTAGAGGCAGATTCAAAGCATAATTTGTCTGATGCTAAAGCATGTGATTCTAGACACCTAAAGTGATGGTGATACCCTCATGATAAATTCAGGCTACCTTTTAAGAAAATCAAATGAAATTGGAATGTGGATTTCCTTCATTACATGATATTAATTTTTTAAAATATATTTTTACTGATTTCAGAGAGGAAGGGAGAGAGAGAGAAAGATAGAAACATCAATGATGAGAGAAAATGATTGGTTGGCTGCCTCCCACATGCCTCACACTAGGGATTAGAACCCACAACCTGGGCATGTGCCCTGACTGAGAATTGAACTATGACCTCCTAGGTCATAAGTCAACGCTCAACCACTGAACCACACCAGTTGGGTGATATTTATTAATTTTACTTCTCCCTTCCATGAGTATAAATATTGGAGATGCAGCAGAAAGGGTGCTGTATGGGTACCCATGCCTAAGCCTGCCACTCACCAGTCACATAACTTCCTGCATGTCATTCTATCTTTTGTTTCATCTTTCTCATTTGTAAATAGGAAAAATAAATCATCTGCCTCCCTCCTCCCAGGGGCATTGTCAAGATCTAAACACGATTTTGTGGTTGACCTATTCTGTCCTGTAACGTGTCTTATGACATAGACATTATAATGACCTCACCTCCAGGCTGTACAGGGGATAGGGACATAGAGAAATGTAGTGAGCAGCCAAGATCCTAAAGCAGGAAAGAGAGGCAAAGCATGGCAATGGGCAAACTCCAGGAGAGGAACAGGAAGAGAGGAGAGGTTGGCTGCATATACAGTATAAAACTGGTTTTTAAATTTATAAATCTAGGCCCTGGCTGGTTTGGCTCAGTGGATAGAACGCCTGCCTGTGGACTGACAGGTCCCAGATTCAATTCCAGTTAAAGGCACATGCCTGGGTTTTGGGCTTGATCCCCAGTAGGAGGTGCACAGGAGATATCCCATCAGTGGTTCTCTCTCATCACTGATGTTTCTATCTCTCCCTTTCCCTTCCTCTCTGAAATCAATTTAAAAATATATTTTAAAAAATAAAGTAAATGGAAACTTATCCATTTTTTCCTAAAAAATTTATAAAACTGCTCTAGCTGGTTTGGCTTAGTGGATAGGGCACCGGCTTGTGGACTGAAGGGTCCTAGGTTTGATTTCCATCTAGAGCACATGCCCAGGTTTCGGGCTCCATCCCCAGTAGGGGGAGTACAAGAGGCAGCTGATCAATGATTCTCTCACATCATTGATGTTTCTCTCTCTCTCTCCCTTTCCCTTCCTCTCTGAAATCAATGAAAAATATATTTTTCTAAATTACAAAACTAGGAAACTAATTGTAACTTGATTTAGCACAGTGGCAATATCCATTTATTCCTCTTCTGAAAATATTCACACACACTTGGAATGACACTAGGAATGTGATTATCACTCTAGGAATACTTGTTGCAATTCCCTACCTATTCAACAACTCAGGCAAGCTAAACAAACCGGTGGTTAGCCTTCAGCCCTACTAATTTTCAGTAACAGTTCTGGGTGCCAGTGGGGAAGGAACTTAATTGGTGTATTGACCAAAGTAATCACACATCCTTTGAAAGCAACAAGAGGACAGTGCCAATCCCTCCCCCGTTCCCCTCACCTCCCTTCCCCCGCACTCCTCAACCCCCACCCCGCAACTACCAACAATAGAAAAGCTTGTTTCTAATGCAAAAAATATCCGAAAGATAATCATTTCTGATCTTTGTCAAATTTATTTGTACAATGCTTACTATGTGTCAGCACTGTACATTTATTAACTCATTAATTCGTTTTATCCTCAAAACAACCCGAGGGGTGAGAGGTTGACAACAACAGCATCGACAGGGCTCTGGTGCAATCTAGTCTCTGCCCCGGTGCAGATCGGCCATTTTAGAAGCCAAGGCATGTGGGTGTCTCAGAAGAAGAATCCTGAGATGATGGAAACAGATGGAAAGGACAAGATAGGACACATACGTAAACACACATACTAAACACACACGCAAACAGGTTAACTACAAAGTTCCAAGCCCTCAGCTAGCCTCAAGCGGAATGCAGAGAGGAAGCCGAGGGGAGCCTGTCACATGGAATCTGTAACACAGATAAACAGCAACAAATGCCCGGTGGGTGATGAGATGATAAAAGAGGAGTTACAGGTGGCAGGAACCCCAGGAAAGACTTCATGGGTTAGGCTTGACAGATGATTAGGAATGGGCTGTCGCAGATAGAAAGGAGGCGGTGAGCCAGCAGCTCATGTCATGTCCCTGCAGAGAATACATCAATGGCTTCCAAAAACCTCATCGTGGCCTACCCAGACCCTGATCCAGGCCCTGCTTCCCTCCCTTTCCAGGGCACACAGGGACCTTTCCACTAGTTATTCCCTCTGGCTAGACTGCTCTCTCGGGCTCCAAACTGGAGTAGCTCCTAATAAGACTTCAGATCTCGACTTCCATTGCCTCAGTGAGAGAGAGAGAGAGAGAGAGAGAGAGAGAGAGAGAGAGAGAGAGAGAGAGAGAGAGAGAGAGAGAGAGAGAGCGCTCTTCCCTATCCACCTGCCATTTCCTTTCCTCCTCTCCCAGCTGATGGGGAGATTTTTAACCTGTTTTATATGTGCAATGTCCCTTTCCCCCTCTAAAAGTAGTTCCATGAGCTGGGGCCTTGCCTCTGTGGTTCACTCAGGCCCTGGCACACAGAGGGAGCAGGATACAAATTATGGAATGAATGAATGAATGAAGTGAATCAGTGACTGAATAGATGTGAGTTAAGGCCCTGGTGAGAACAGGGCTGTGTCTGGGAAATAGTTTATCGTGGCTTGAGCTTAGGAGATAACAAGGAGTCACACCAGGCAGGTTGGAAACGGAAGGGTCTGATGGGGAAGGACCTTGAAGGTAGTAGCATCGGGTCCAGATTCATACCCCCAACGGGCTCTGCAATGCAGGTGTCCGCCAGGTGCTGGGCGGGAGGAGGCGGGGCGGCGGATGCAAACCTAAGCTTGTGTCCCCGAAGCACCCTGATCCCTGCGATCCAGCGCCAAATACACAGCCAGCGACTTCTGCGGGCCACGAGCCGCAAACACCGGGGCCTACGGGAGACGCCTATGGGGCCGAGGAGCGGAGAGGGCGCGGGGACAGCGCCGACACCGGACCCCGCGCTTGGTCCACCGGCCCCGGGTGAGCTCGGGGACCTGTCTCGTTCCCGCGGCCGAGGGTCGGCTGCAGGATCGCCCGGCCGGACCTCCTGGCCACGCCGCCCCCGCCCGCAGGCCCGGGTCGGGGAACGCGGCCCGCGCTGCCGCCCTGGGTGGCGGGCACCGGCCGCGCACAGCCCCAGGTCCCCGGCCGCGCCCACACTCACCCTGTGCCGCCTTGGGAGCCGAGCGCGTCCTCCACAGCCGCCGGGCGGCCTTCCAGGGCCGCAGAGAGGAAAGCAGCCTCCGGCTCTTGCTGCCGCCGGGCTCAGTGGCTCCCATCGGTGCGCCCACGCGCCTCCCCGCCCGCCCGAGGGTCGCTCCTGCCGCCCCCGCCGCCGCGCGCTGCCAGGTGCCGGCCGCCTCCGGGCCGCCTCCCGGGTGGACGCGGCCGCCGGGGGAGGAGCTTGCGGCCGGGCGGGTGGGAGTGGGGGGGTGAGAGCGGGGGAGGGAGAAGGGAGGAGGGGGGACAGCTGCTGGGGCGGCGCCTGCGGGGTGCGGCCGGCCTGGGCGTGGGCGCTACAGTGCCGCGCTAGGCTGGGAAGCGCTGGGTGCCTGGCCGCCTAACGGGGGAGGCTTTAGCCGCTCGTCCTCGGTCCAGGAGATGTGCATGGAGAAGCCAAGAACTGCTACGCATCATTAATGACCAGGGAAAATCCCAACGGGTGTGATTTTTTTTTTTTTTTTTTTGTCCCAAAAACGAATCACACACCTGCTACAGGGTGGACCATTCTCAAGTCCTGGCCCTAACCCTAACCCTATTTGTTCATACCTCGCTACTGCCCGAGAAGGATCCCATATTAGGTTCGATGTTTAAGTCTGGCAGTTATTTCTGTTTTCCTCGTGCAACAGGTTATGAATCAGTCGTGATCTTTTTCTTTTTTCTTTTTTCTTTTTTCTTTTTTTTTTTTTTTTTTTTTGAGAACCTATTCTGTGTCCAAGCACTTTATTTATTTTCATTGATTTCAGAGAGGAAAGGAGAGGGGGAGAAAGAGAAACATCAATGATGACAGAGAGAATCATTGTTCGATGGCCTCCTGCATGTGCCTAGGCATGTACCCTGAGTGGGAGTCCAACCCTTGACCTCCTGGTTCATAGGTCCACGCTCAAGCACAGAGCCACCCTGGCCTGGCTGGCCGGGCACTTTTACATCATGTCATTCAGCTTCATAGCACACCTGTGGGGTGGGAGGCCTTTCCCATTCTCCATTTGCCTCCATTCGCACCATTTTGTCTCTGTCCTGGGGTTGCTTGTAATTGGGAGAGTCTGAGAGGAAGATCAAAACCAAGGTTCCTTTACTACTGCCTGGTTACAATAATAGTAGCTTATGCTTGTGGACTGCTTTTCATGAGCCAGATGTTACATACATTACCTTATTTAACTCTCCCAATGATATTCATGAAAGAGAAATGATTAATATCTACGCTTAATTAATGGAAGAAGCATAGCGTCATGGGGGTCAGGTTACACATATAAAACTTTAATAAAGGTGATATGTTAGGTTGAATCATGAAATTGCCATTTTTGTATTGTAATGTCAGACAATAACTTCACTAGATGATCAAAATTAAAATCACCAGTGGAGGCAGGTAAAAATGGAGAGCGCCTAGCCCTAGCTGGTTTGGCTCGGTGGCTAGAGCTTTGGCCTGTGGACTGAGGGGTCGTGGGTTCCATTCCAGTCAAGGGCACATGCACAGGTTGCGGGCTGCATCCCCAGTACGGGCATGCAGGAGGCAGCCAATCAACGATCCTTATCATTGATGTTTCTCTCTCTCTCCCTCCCCTTCCTCTCTAAAATCAATAAAAATATTAAAAAAAAATTTAAAAAAAAGAGGGTGGGCATTGAGAGGTGTCCTCTCTCTGTGTGTGTCAGTAATAGGCTGAGTTTTCTTCTACACCATGGCATCCAGACTGAAGTCTGAAAAAATAGGTTCTTAGAAGAAATAACCTAAATAACAAAGTTAGTCAGGAATAGCAGCTACATACCACCAACTATTATAATACCCTAGATCCGAGGTCGGCAAACTGCGGCTCTCGAGCCACATGCGGCTCTTTGGCCCCTTGAGTGTGGCTCTTTCACAAAATGCCACGGCCTGGGTGAGTCTATTTTGAAGAAGTATCATTAGAAGAAGTTTAAATTTTGAAAATTTGGCTCTCAAAAGAAATTTCAATTGTTGTACTGTTGAGTAATGAGTTCGCCGACCACTGCCTAGACAAGGGTTTTGCTCTGTCTTTTGGGTTTCTTACCCGTCCCTGGGGTTAGGGCACCTAGAACCTAGTCCTGGTTACCCAAACCATCTGGGAAATATTGGTTCTGTCCCTTCCCCTCCTGGCTTCCTATTTTAATCTCCACCATCACCTCAGCCCCATTAATGGAAGGGGTTTCACAAGATGACACAGACGTTTCCTTCTAGGGTCCCACCATCCTCCCCTGGATGCCCTGACTCTCACTAACTGGTTTTGGAATACTGCTAAGTGTTAGTGTCCCCAGTGGGCCGGGCTTAGAGAACCATCTTTTTTTCCACAGTCCTGGTACATCCAGTGCATCAGAGCAGCTCCTTGTGGGGGGAGAGGGGGGGTCCAACCGCTCACTGCTTAGATTCACTGGTCGGGGAAGGATGAAAGAAACATTCTTTGGTTTGCCCTTTCTGTCCAAACATCATGTGATTCCGTGGCACTCGTCCAGCCTGGAGCTAAACAAGGCCAGAAGCCTTTGACTCCCACAGTCACAGCTTGCTCCGGGCAGATCCGGCAGGGAGTCTCCCACAGCTTCGGAGTCCATGGGAAAAGAATGCGGCCTGAGAGACCTCCCACCCGAGCAGAAACGCCCAAGTGCCCCTGAGGCACATTCATGAGTACCAGCAACATGGAATTTCTTTTCAAATGTCACACATGCAAAACAGGCCCGCTTATTTGTACATCTGGCTCACTGGGCTTAAGGGGAAAACAAAAAGGAAAAAAAAACCTTGAATTTTATTCACTTAATTGTGCTTATGAAGCTAGGTCCAGAAATATGAAACTGACAGTCCTCAAAGTCAATGAGATCCAAGATTCTTCTTTGTGTGTGTGCGCACATGTGTGTGAGAAAGAGAGGAGGGGGCTAAAAGAAAAATGACCTAGACTTTCCAGCTAGAAAGCTTAGTGAATCCTGGCTCTGCCACTTACTGTGTGATCGTATCCAGCTTCCCTAACTTCTCTAAGTCTCAGTTTCCCCATCTGCACAATGAAGACAATAAGTACCGTGTTTCCCCGAAAATAAAACATCCTCCGAAAATAAGACCTACTTACAGGTTTCCTTCTGTGTGAAATATAAGGCATCCCCCCAAAAATAAGGCCCCCCCAGGCTCTGTCTCAGAATGAAAATTAATTTACCATAAACTGGTTGTTAGGGCAGCCCTGATTGGCCTCTAGCAACCAGTGACATTACGTGGAGTCCTGACATCATTGCTGTGTGGAGACTGAGCAGAGGTCGGAGTGAGCTGTGAGCGCGAGGCGGGAGAGAGGAGGAGAGAGAGGAGTAGAACAGAAGAATTAGAGCGGATGGGACACAGCAAAGGTGGTGAGTGCTGGTCTGTCTCTGGTGACACTCACTACCTGATGCTCACGGCTGCCCTCATGATGACTGAAGGTTCTCAGTCAGTGGCAGACCCTGCTCCAGCCCAGATCCAGGTCCCAGCAAGCCCAGTGACAGTCCCCAGGCAGGCCTCAGGAGGTAAATGTCTGATAAAGGGGTAGGGGGGATGTCTGGTGAAGGTGTTCAGTGGCACAGGGGTGGGGGATCACTTAAAATGACACAGGAGGATCAGAATGGGCAATCAAAATTACACAGAAGGAACAAAAGGGATTACTAAAATGGTAATCCCCCCTCTGATTCTCCTGTGCCATTTTGATTCCTCCCTTTAATCTCCCCCGTGTCATTTTAAGTGATCACCTTGATACCCCAATTTCTGTTTTATACCCCTAGAAATGAGCGCAAAAAGAAAAAGCTACTTCGTGGAGTACAAGAAAGGAATCATGGAAGACTCTTGGGGCCAAAATCTTACTGCTTTCTGCAAAGAGAAGATGTTGAGTATCCGATTGGTCCGAAAATGGCAAGCAGAGTATGGTAACCTCATTGAACAAGTGGACAAGGGAAATGCTACAAAGCGCAAGTGTGGATCAGATCAGCAACCAGTATTTTCTGAGCTGGAAGACCTGATCTGTGAATGGGTTGTTGACAGGAGAGCAAAGGCTTTGGTTGTGAATAGGGCTCAGATTCAAGAATTTGCCCTTGCAATGGCACCACAGTTTGACATAGCCCCTGAAAACTTCAAAGCATCACAACACTGGCTGGATAATTTCCTTCAGTGAAGTGAACTGTCTTTAAGAAGATCTACAACATTGTTTAGGTTGGAAGATACTCCAGTTATTAAGCGAGCACTTGCATTCAAGTCCTGTATTGATGATGCTGACTTCTCTAAATAAAATCTTTCCAACATGATTGCTATGGGTGAAACTGCAGTGTTTATGGGCCAATCATCTCAAACAACAATTGAACAGCGAGGTGCCTCCTTAGTGTACATTCCCTCCACTGCTTATGAAAGTGCACGTGTTTCCTGTATTTTGGCAATTGGTCTGGATGGCACTAAAATCCCACCTTTAATCATTTCTAAGGGCAAGAAGGAAAAGATTGAAAGTGTTTTGGGCATTTTTATTCTTGAAACTGAAAAAGCCTGGGCCACACAAGCAGTTATAAGGAAGTGGGTCGATTTAATGCTGCCGCTTATTATGCAAAGGAGCCAAAGAGGTCTGCTAGTCTGGGATGCAGCCAGCACTCACCGCACTAAAGACATGAAGACATTTCTTCACGAAAGAAAAATAGATCAGATAATGATTCCCTCAGGAATGACGGCCTATCTCCAGACTCTTGATATTGCAATAAACAAGCCATTCAAAGACAATTTGTGCATGGAAATTAATGACTACATTGAAAATAGAATGGAGAGAAATCAGTGTGGAAACTTTGTGAAACCTAAACTGCAAGAAGTTGTGACTTGGGTGAAAAATTCATGAGAGAAAATCACTGACAGTTGCATTGCAAATGCATTGTGAGCAGGCTACCTTGACAAGAAGTACTCATTTAAAGACAGAACTATTGCTAAACATGAGAGATTTGGTCCACTGATTCTGAAAGAAATGGAGTCACAAGAAATTCACCAGGAAATTCAGGAATTGGATTGTTATGATGATGTTCCAGAAGATGATGACATGATTGTCATTGAATAAATGAGTAAATTCTTGAT